TAGTTTTGTTAAAGTCTCACAATATTGTGCCGCATTAATGGTTTCACCTCTGGGAAGAAATTCAGTAAGCAAAATGCCTCTCCTATCCCAGACAGTGCACATGATTTTTTGTGATGACATTGTCACTTTGAACTTTTGTTTTTTCGGAGAATGAGTGTGTCTCCACTCCATCGATTGTTGTTTCGATTCTGGTGTGAAATGACACACCCAAGTTTCATCACCTGTCACAATTTGGTTTAAAAAGTTTTCTCCCTCATCACTGTACCACGTGAGAAATGTCAGGGCACTACCAAGTCGCTTTGTTTTGTGAACATCAGTGAGCATTTTTAGAACCCATCGGGAACACAGTTTGCGATAATTCAAGCGGTCAGACACAATTTCGAACAAAACAGTACGTGAAATTTGTGGAAATGCCTCTGAAAGAGTTGTCATTGTGAAGCATCTGTTCTCATGAATTGCTTCATCAACTTTCCTTACCAAATCATCGGTGACAACAGAAGGCCGACCACTCCGAGCCTCGGCGTGGACATTTGTTCGACCTGCATTAAACATTCTTACCCACTTTCTCACCATTCCATCACTTATCGCGTATTCACCGTAAACTTCTGTCACTTGAGGATAAATTTCGGCTGGTTTAACATTCCTCGCGTTCAAAAATTTAATCACAGCACGAATCTCACAGTCAGCGGGAGAACTAATTGTCTTAAACATTTTGAATGTGCACAGCAAACTGAAAACACAACATAGAGCAACCAAAATGGCGACAATTGAAAGTCAGTGAACAAGAAAGACTAGTGCGCATGCGTGGGATGCCTACCACAGCACTGCGACGGCGCTAGAATGAAATGGTACTTAGTTTCCGAATACACTACGTACATACACAAAATGGGGGGTTTCCACCTTTAAAACTGTATCAAATAATGTTATAAACAATCATTGCTTTAACCTTTTTGTGCCGACTGTGCACAGGGTGCCAGAAATGCAATTATTTCCCAGCCGGTACACTGGCATGCTACAGCCTTTTATCATTCACATCCCAGAATGGCACATTTGTACCAGCATCTTGGAATGTTTTAAAAACCACTAGATGACGCTCTGGGTCAAGTACTTCTAAATTGAATACAGTTTTAGGACCCTGATCGAGTTTGGTCACTTTCTGAGTAACACTGATGTCAGCTGTTGTGGGGACAGTGTAACGTAAATAGATAGAGCTAGTCTCTTAATCTCACCACATAATATAAATATTATAAATATTCACATTTCTGATATCCTTTTAAATACTTTTTTTATTCTTCCCCCCCCCCACTATGTAAGGTCTTTTCGGGTTACTATGATGAGTTATTTTATGTTTTGTATTACTTTTATTGCTTATATTTCACCTACTTCCCTTTTTATTTTGGAAAACCTTGACTTCAGTTTATTACGGAAAGCAAGCGTTATTTATCAGATGAAGAATACACCCGCACAGTAAAAATGAGTCAATCAGTGATATGGATGAGAGTGATGATTCATTTTCTAAAGAGAGCAATATTTCTAGTGATTCTCATACAGACATTTTGTCAGAAACAGAGCTCACTGATTGTCGGCCTTCCAGTTAACATGAGAGATTTTGTTACTTCTTGTAAACAGTCTTTGTTGTATATTCTTTAGTACTTTAAAAGTTTATTTATGTATTTTATCAATTAAAACTTCAGAATGATTTGAATAGTGCTCAGAAAATTATTTCTCAAAATAAGCAATTTTTTCATATATATTTTCATGTAAAGTAAAGGAAAAAATTATTAAATGCTAATTTTAACGTATACAGTCAAAAGTCTTTAATCCGGACTCGTCGAGACTTTGGCGATTCCGGATTATCGATTTTTCCGCATTACAGATCATCAGTTTAAATCTGGTAAGATCAAATGCAGAAATCATAAAATTAAAAATATGAAACCGTAATTTATAAAATAATGAGCAATTATGATCTAAAGGGTATCCATACTTGCCAACCTATGACACTCAAAAATCAGGAGATTTTTCACAATGTTAAAAATACTTTTTAAATGATAAAAATATAGTTTTTAATGATGAAGTAACTTTAAATAGTTACTAAGTCTTAAATGCAAGCAAAACAAAAATACCTTAGACATAAAAAACATTTTTATTACTTGCATCGTAAAAAAAAAAAAAAAAAGACACTTTAATCAGTTTTCATACAAATGTTATGGACAGTGGCAGATTTTGCTTTCGTTAAGAAACTTCATAATTTTGTTCATAGCAATTGCCACGTAGGCCTGCTTTCGCTAATAAAAGCTTTTCTAATGTGTCATCACTAATATTAGAACAAAATTTAGTCCTCGTTTTCGCAACAACACTGAAAATCCTCTCACACTCCGCATTACTATGGGGAACTGTCAAGATGGCCAACATAATTCTAGAGAATTCACTATATTTTAAAATTCCGTCAGCACCTTTCAATTTTCCAATTAAACTTCACTGGGTGTCAATTCTAGCTGATTTTATAATCATCCAAGTTTTCTAATTGTAAACTGCAAAATTGCGACTGCAGTATATCAGTAGCAACATCAATATCGTCATCTTTCATGACTAAACGAAGTAACACAGGAAATCTGTTCAAAAAGTACCTTATATCAGAAAAAGATGCATTTGCTAGAGCAGAAACATCAGCAACTTTAGCATGCAAAATCAGTTCATCGTTGACTGGGAATTTATGTAGTATGTAATCACATACTCGACAGAAGAACTTCTAACATGAAGATATTTGTCCTTTTCTGAAAGTTCTTCCACTACTTTTGTAGGTGCAGCTCCTATTACCAAATCTTCATCTTTCTTCTGATTTTCTGTTTCACCATAAATCACATCATATATAGAATTACAAGACAAAACACAGACTGGTTTTACAAACTTTGATAAAATGTCTTTAAACAGATCATAAATCATTGATTGCAAAACATGAATTAATGGAATTCTGCTTTGTAGAATTGCGTTAAGAACATCGAATGATGGCAAAAAGCTTTGTTAAGGTCCGAAGAAAAAAACATAAATATTCGTTCTTCACAAGATAAACTTACAGTAATCGGAAAATGTTTCGTGTGTTGAGCATTTTTTTATTTTATTTTGAGAGAAATTTGTATCAGCTTTACGCTTATATTTTGCAGTATTATTTTGAGAACTGCCAGTTGAATTGCTGAATGATGCAGAAATTACTTTATTTTTCTCAAACCTATTTTTAACAATGGAAGTAGTAACTACATCTCCATTTACTTTAGGTACTTTATAACTTTCAATAGAGCCTTTTATCTTAACTCTCGAAGCATTTACTTCTTCTTTAAAAAATGCAAGAAGTGGGTTCCATTGATCGAGGATTCTAGATAAGCATTTCTTTAAAGACAGCCAGCGTGTACACACGTTTCAAAATTTTTCTTATTTATTTATTTGTTTACTTTCAACGTTCAAACATTTCTTTCAAAGCGTGCATGCGTAAAGCATACATTAGGCATAGTCGAAATTAGAAAATTGCAACCAGAAAACTATTTGATTTGTATTCGTGATATTTATAATGAGGAGGAATTTGATTTAAATCATATCAAAGACCGAGTAGATCGAAATGAAATACAACATTTAGTAAGGAATTATAAGCCGACTAAAATCAAAACATCTGCCCTGAAGATAACGATAGTGCTGACAGATCAACTTCCAGTTCATCGCTCGCCGCGACGTCCCCCCCCCCGCGCAGAGCAGCGTGAACTTGATAAACAGATTTCGGAACTGTTAGATAAACAAAGGATATGCCTTGATCCATTTTTTGTAGCAATTCCACTTTTTGTTTGATGGACATCGAAACATACTTTCGTTTTGTAGATCCTTTGGGAGCTCCAGCATCGGAAATTCTATTTGACATAATCGAAAGTTCAAGCTTACTTTTATAAAATTGCTCTTACAGTCTGCAAAAAATAATAAGCCGGATACAATTCGAAGATTAAGGAACAACGCAATCATCAACATTAACTGTAATAGATAATTAGATAATTTTAGCTTATACCGTCCGTTATTAAACGCGTACGCGAAAACGTATTCTACGCTTGCGCAGACGCATATGCAAGTCGTAAAGGTCTTGCGCGCACGCGTAAACGCCTATGCGCATGTGTCAACGCGGCGCATTTTAGCTTGATTTTAGCTTTGAGGTCCGGATTATAGATCATTCCGGATTATGGGTGTCCGAATTAACGACTTTTGACTGTATAACAACTTAAGCAATAATCTAAAATAGTAACAAAAATTATGATGTTAGAGGGTAAACTTTTTTTTGTGTGTGAAAATCCCTGGCTGTGGGACAATTCCTTTCGTCTCCCAAGCAAACGTCTTAAACAAAGACATGCCAGTCTGGACACAATTAAGCAGATATCAAAAAGTCAGACTGTTAAAATCAGCTTCAACCAGATCAAAACATGAATTTAGGCTGAAACTGCTGTGATTTTTAATTCCAAAAAATCTCGATTAGAATTTTAACTTGCATGTTATTCCGATAGCTGTAGCAACATACAGATACTGATTCTACTATCCACTACTTGCTTATTACACATCATAATGTTAAAAATAAATAAGTTTACAAATGCCAAAATTTTATAAAATAATTAAAAAAAAGAAGATAATATAAACATTCTCTTATGCATATTTTAGGAATTTCAACACAATGCAAGAAATAATAAATGGCATAAAAGATTTCCATTAAATGAATTATTATAGAAAGATAATAATTAAAAATTCAACTATGATTTTCATTACTAAATGTTTGTAACATTTATATACTTCTCATTTTGAGATTCATAATAAATAATACAAATAAAAGATACTACCTCATAAATATTTTAATACATCAATGATGATGGATTACAAAATTTTTTAAATATTTTTCCTGTTAATTTTCACCTCAATAATACCAAAATAAGTCAAGCTTATTTTTCCATAAATAACCTGGCCATACAAAATCAACTTACTTATTAAATGCGTTGGAAGATGTGATGTGTCACAATATGATACTGAATGTGAGGTAGGTACTACTCCCACTGGTTGAGGGGAAACCACTCGAGGTCCGACCACAAAATTCATCTAAAAAATTTTAACAAACAATTATTACTTATAATGTTGTTTAATTATGTAATGAGCATAATGTAATAATAAATGCAAATATATATAGTGTAAAATATCTCTCTTTCAAAAATCTTTGTGGACTGAGCATTATCTGTGTTCTTTGAGTCTCATCTTTCATCTGTCTAACTGCGCAATAAAGTTTCTTCAAATTATAATGCAGAGAACCACTGCCAATCCATTGTAACTTACTTTCACCAAGTCATTTTATTACAATAATGCCGCAATTATTTTTTCTGTTTTGTTCATTTTTATATACAGTTGACTTTCCAATGCATTTAACTCTTCACATAATTGATTGAGATTGATAATACATAATAGTACATAATTGAGATGGATATACCTTTATCCATTTCTTGCAGCAATTCCACTTTTAATTGACAATGAAACATGTTTTCGCTTTGTAAATTCTGTTGCAGCTCCAGAATTAGAAACTCTTTTTGACATAATCAAAAGTTGAAATTTAATTTTGTTGAAAATATGACTTATTGTAATCCCTTTTTTGCATCATCTCTCCTCCTTGAAATAATTCTAACTTTTACATGAGGTTTGGTTTTTTTTTAAAGGGATATAGCAATTATTTCTACTTTGTTTTTCAGTGCCACTGTTTGTATTAAGAACGGATTGTTCCAGCTTAATTAAGATGCAAAAACGAAACTCGAAGTTACATCATCTGGAAAGCTGAGTCCTGCCGACAGCCGATTGGTTGCCATGAGATGATGCCATGTCTACTTCATGTATAAATATCTTGCATCGCTCTGGCATAGTGCTTCTTGTTCCTGCTTTCATTGCTCCTGGTGTGCTGTTCCAGCTCTCATTCGGAGACGTTCTTGCGATGAGGGTCGTCCAGCGGTAAGTGCCGTGGTTCCATGCCATGCTGGTTTTTCCAAGGTTAAGCGGCATCGAATCTCAAGTTGTGGTTCCCAGTGAGCAACTGCAGTGAGCGGTATTTACAAATTCAAGTACATTCAAAAGCGTAATTTTTCAGGTGCCTTCTTGGCCAAAAGCATAGACCTATTTAGTCAAGTGAAATTCAAATTAATCGTGTAGTTTTGTTCTGTGATATGTTTTTCACATATTAAATGCCAGTATTAATAGAACAGGTAATATATTTACTGTATCATTAATAGTGTAATATTCATTAAAGGAAAAACCCTTGGGGTTAGTGAATAGTTAACCGAGTGTAATTTTTGACAATGATTATGTTACACTTTTAACTTTAAGTTTCTGGTATTGATCAAATTTATTTATTGTAGTCTTATTTTTATACATATATTGTTAATAAATTGGTTTAGTTTAAAACGTTTGTCATCTATGTCTGCACAGCACATAATCTTAAGGTGCTTCTATTGCGATAATTATTTCTGCTAAATGTTTTTTATAACTTTATACTTTGCTTTTACATTATTTTGGTTATGGGCCAAGCCCCTGAGTTATCTTTATTGCAGACTGTTTTTTGAAGTTTAAGTTAATTAAAGACTTAAGAGACTGGGGGGCGATTTTTGTTGAATTTCAAATATGGCTACTATTAATGTTATGCACAGTATTGCTAATCTTGATGCATATAATTACTTTGCATGGTCTAAAGATATTAAGTTTGTCTTAAATGAGAAAAATGCTTGGCTTCTGGTTAAAGGTATTGAAACATGTCCTGAGTTAAATGATGTTTATAGTATTACAAAAGAAATTGTTGCCCACTATCAAAATAGAAGTCGTTTGACATTATCATCGATTTATATGAATGTAAGCCCTGAATATAGGAACTTAATATGTGAAATAGATGATCTTGGTAGTTGGCATGGAATACGCTTGCCAAATTTTTCCAGCCAGATTATCGAGCTAGACATATGTCCTTGTTTTCAGAGTTCTTAAATTGTAAAATTAAGCCAAATGAAAGTATTAGTTTCTTTTCTTCTAGATTAAAATGCATTAACTGAACAATTGGCTGATATTAATCAAGGCTGTAAAAGATGTCTATATATGTTTTCTTAGGTTTCTTCCAGAAAAATATCATCATGTAGTTTAGAACATTTTGAGGTGGCCAGATGAAAAGTTTATATTTAAAATGTTGAACTGGAAATACTTGCAGAGGATAACACGTTTTAATTTAAGGGATGTAGATAGGGAAAATTCTAACAAGACTATAGAAGTTCAAAGCACCCACTTTGAACCTAAATTTAAGCAGAATAAAGGGTCCAAGTGTTATAAATGTGGCCATCCAGGTCATATACAAAACTACCATAGAATAAAAGGTAATTTTTCCAGATCACACTCGCCTGCTTCTTCAGGCTAAGTCCTTTTTCATAGCTCAACCTAATGTTAACCCTCTCACTGCATACTTTTTACTTCCTTGTACGAAGTAAAAAGGAAGTATTGTAAATGCGAAAAGTTTCATGCAGCATATTCCAATGAAAATATCAATTTTGACTGCAATCGAATGCAACTTAACGATGTTTTTGCACGATACCTGTACGTAAGGACAGAATAAAATACTCTTTTCCTTCAAAAAATTATAAAACTATTTTAAAATGAATTCTAAAGAGAATTTTTCGTGGCGTACGTACGTACATATCTTGCATATCTCAAAAACGAGTAGCCTCAGAACGTTAAAATTTTGTATATAGGACTGCTATAACATGTAGATGTGCACCTCGTATTTTGGTTGCAATTGGCCGCACCAAACGTATATAAATATATTTATATAAATATCCACTCTGTTACCCGGCTCAGTGATCTCAGTTTCTTTACTCTTATATGTTTGTAAATTGTACATTTTTTGCTTTAAAAATGATTGAATTATGTTGTTCTTATCTTCCGGTTAAGGTTTTTATGCCTTTAGTAATACTCTATGCAATATTTTTAGAATTATCAACAATTTTAAAGTTGTTTAAGTGCCGCTAAGCCTATTACTTCTCTTGATGGCGGCCATTGTATGTTTACATTTGAAACAGCAGGATAGTGGATTTGTTGCCAATCTAGAGAAACTTAGCTTTGCAACAACAAAGATAACGCCTTCATTTATTATTGCCAATTTAATCATGCTTAATCCTTTCTGGAATTTTTTCGAGGAAATAAGTATTTAAGATTTACTTTGTAATTTTTAATATATATATTTTGAGTTTTTATGTATTTTGCCTTCTCGCGAAGTGAGAACTGAATTAATTGAATGAGAAATATTCAATCCTCTGTGAAAAACTGTTTCTTTTTTTGTTTTGTTTGCTTAATTTCTTTTATACATCATTCTAGCTTTATTATAGTATTTGAATAGAACATGTGGCAACAATTAGATAATTCTATTCTTTAAATGATATAAATTTTGTGCATTCTGAGTTATAATATGAATGAAATATAATACTGTTAAGTGAACCTAGCGCCAGAGTGTCGCTATGGTAAACAAAGTGAATTTTAAAGAATGCATTTATTCTATTGTGGTTTATGCGCTGTCGGCGAAGTAGATTTAATTCAATCCAATAAAATTAAATGAAATGCAAGATCCGATCCGGTGTATAACTTAATATTCCGTACAAGGAAGTCATGTGGTGTACACATCAGATTTTTTTATCAGAACAGGTTCAAAAGCTGCATATTTTTTTATTACATAGTTCAAATCTACATATATTTTAGAGTTAAAATATAAAAAAAAATTTGTAAAAGAGTTTTTTTTCCCCCCCAATATAGAATTAGATCATATAAAAAGGTGGTCAGAATACTGAAATTGAAGAATAATGATATAAAAGGAAAATTTTGAAAATTAATATTGGTTAAATTATGATTTATTTTATAAAATACAAAGGGAAACATATACAAAGATAAAACTAATGAAAATATTTGCATAATGTAATATTTTGCACCGCTATCGAACGTTTTCAATTGAAACTGAATTTTCAGATTCATCACTATCTGCAGAGGAATGCGAGAAATTCTCAGCAATTTTGCTGTAACTATCTTCATTATACTTAAATTCAGAGTCAGAAGTACTATCAGTGTCAGAAATATAGGTTATATCACTCGCAAAATAACAACATGTGCACATCGTCCCCAAAATTTCTTGAAAAAAAAAAAAAATTTGATTTAAATGGAGTTGTGTATTGTTACATTTATATTTATTTATTCTTGTGTTGAATTTTATATAAAAATACTGGCATTCAGTTTTTTTTTTTTTTTTTTTTGTTGTTGTTTCAGGTCGGAGGTGATGATGTGGGGGACATTTGTTGAAAACATGACTTATTGTAACCCCTTTTACATCATCTCTACTCCTTGAAATAATTCTAACTTTTACATGAGGTTTAGTTTTTTTAAAAGGGATATAGCAATTATTTCTACTTTGTTTTTCAGTGCCACTGTTTGTATTAAGAACGGATTGTTCCAGCTTAATTAAGATGCAAAAACGAAACTCGAAGTTACATCATCTGGAAAGCTGAGTCCTGCCGACAGCCGATTGGTTGCCATGAGATGATGCCATGTCTACTTCATGTATAAATATCTTGCATCGCTGTGGCGTAGTGCTTCTTGTTCCTGCTTTCATTGCTCCTGGTGTGCTGTTCCAGCTCTCATTCGGAGACATCCCTGCGATGCAGGTCGTCCAGCATTAAGTGCCGTGGTTTCAGGCCATGTTGGTTTTTCCAAGGGGCGTCGAATCTCAAGTTGTGGTTCCTGGTGAGCAACTGCAGTGGGCGGCATCCTGTTTCCATGGTTAACCGGCGTCGAATCTCAAGTTGTGGTTCCCAGTGAGCAACTGCAGTGAGCGGTTTACAAATTCAAGTACATTCAAAGGTTAATTTTTCAGGTGCCTTCTTGGCTAAAAGCATAGACCTATTTAGTCAAGTGAAATTCAAATTAATCGTGTAGTTTTGTTCTGTGATATCTTTTAGCGTATTGAGTGCCAGTATTCATAGAACAGGTAATTTATTTACTGTATCATTAATAGTGTAATATTCTTTAAAGGAAAAACCCTTGGGGTT